CAGGATGACAGACTTCCCAAGAAAAGAAAGAACAGTGGAGCATGAAGATAGACTAGGTGCTTCCTGCCTCAGTTTCCATTTTGTACCAATGATAGTGTTACTGGTGGAGGGTGTCCAGGTTCTTGACCTCTTGAACAAAGAATTGGACAAAATACACAAACAAAACAAGGAAAGAATGAAGCAGTAAAAGCAGAGATTTATTAAAAATGAAAATATGTTCCACAGGGTGGGAGCGGGCCCAACCACAGGGGCTCAAGAGCCCCGTTATCCAGAATTTTCTGGGGTTTAAATACCCTCTTGAGGTTTCCATTGGTTACTTGGGGTACGCCCTATGTAAATGAAGAGGATGAAGTAAAGTTACAAAGCTGGCCGAGTGTGGTGGCTCACTGCTTGTAATCGTAGCACTTTGGGAGCCAGAGGCAGGCAGATCACTTGAGGTCGAGAGTTCGAGACCAGCCTGACCGAAATGGAGAAAACTTATCTCTACTAAAAATGCAAAATTAGCCGGGCGTGGTGGCACATGCCTGTGATCCCAGGTACTCGGGTGGCTGAGACAGGAGAATCGCTTGAACCAGGGAGGCAGATGTTGTGGTGAGCCGAGATGATGCCATTGCACTACAACCTGGGCAACAAGAGCGAAACTGTGTTTCAAAAACAAAAACAAGAAGCAAACAAAAAGAACAAAACAAGAGTAGAGTGGCTTCAAGGGTCTCTGCTAAATAAAGGAGAATTTAAATGTGCTTATTTGGGGGGTTTGGTTTTCTTTAAAAGGGGACCTTGTCTACTCCTCCCTCATTGCTACCCTACAAACTAGTGTCAACCTATATAGTCTTGCTACTAGAAAGGAGTCCTGATCCAGACCCCAAGATGGGGGTTCTTGGATCTCAGGCAAGAAGGAATTTGGGACGAGTCCATAGAGTAAAGTGAAAGCAAGTTTATTCAAAAAGTAAAGGAATACAAAATGCCTACTCCATTCGCAGAGCAGTGGCATGGACTGCTTGACTAAAGACCCTTATAGTTATCTCTCAATTATATGCTAAATAAGGGGTGAATTACTTACGAGAGTTCTGGGAAAGGGGTGGGCAATTCCTGGAACTGAGGCTTCCTCCCCTTTTTAGACCATATAGGGTAACTCCTGGACATTGCCATGGCATTTGTATACTGTCTTGTTGCTGGTGGGAGTGTCTTTTAGCATGCTAATGCACTATAATTAATGTATAATGAGCAGTGAGGATGACCAGCGGTCACTTTCGTTGCCTTCTTGGTTTTGGTGGGTCTTGGCTGGCTTCTTTACCGCAACCTGTTTTATCAGGAAGATCTTTGTGACCTGTATCTTGTGCTACCTTCTATCTCTTCCTGTGACTAAGAATGCCTAACTTCCTAGGAATGCAGCCCAGCAGGTCCCAGCCTTATTCTACCCAGCCGCTATTCAAGATGGAGTTGCAGTGGTTCAAATACCTCTGACAGTGTCATTGAAGAGATGATTTGACTTAAGTTGGAAAACAGGTCCATAGTATTGGTTAAAGATGTAGGGACAATGCCCGGGTTTGCTTGCCAGCAGGGTGCAGTCAGCCCTACCATCTCATTCCCTGCCTTCCGGGTGGGCAAGTGAGTCCAGCAAGGCCCAATGCCCCCCAAATTTGTGCATCTTCTTGGAAATTTCCACTCTATCACGGGAGACATGTATTTCAAGTTGCACCAGCTATGTTCTGGGCAACTCTTTGGATGCCTTCTTTTATAAAGTGGCATTGAGAAGTTAAGAGGATCCTGAAATAGCAATCTGCAAATTTGGTTCAAATTTTGACTCCGTTGCTAGCTCTATTACCTAAGCATATCACCTAGTGGTGCTAGGTGTCTGCATGGTCAACTCTAAAACCATGAAGGGTTGTTCTGAGGATTCAGTAAAACCATGTAGAGCCCTCCCTTGATATACCTGGGGGATTGGTTTCAGGACCCCTGTCTTCCACCTTCTAGTCCCCACGCACCTCAGATACCAAAATCCAAGGATGCTCAAGTCCCTTATGCTACAGAATGGTGTAGTAGTTGCATATAACCTATGCATATCCTCCCGTACACTTTCTATTTTATCTTTAGATTGCTTCTAATACCTTACACGATATAAATGCTATGTAAATGGTTGTTATACTATATAGGTTTTTTAATTTGTATTTTTTATTGACTTGTGTTCAATTTTTTTCTCTTTTTTTTGTTTTTTAGATAGAGACTGAGTCTCTATCTGTCTCCCACTGGAGTGCAATGGTGCCACCATAGCTCACTTCCACCTCAAACTCCTGGGCTCAAGTGATCCTTCCTGCCTCAGCTTCCTGAGTTGCTGAGATCACAAGCACAAGTCTCCAACATATTTTTAATCCTTGGTTGGTTGAATCCATGGGTGTAGAACCCACAAATACAAAGAGCCAACTGTATGTAAAAATCTTTTGCACAATGCTTGACACATAGCCAGTCCTTGATAAATGATAGGTGAGTGTTATGAGTCTATTTTGATAATAACACTATAACCCTGGGAGTTCACTACTAAGATATTCTAGTTCATAAAGTCAATAAATAATAATAATAATTATTATTGTTATTTTGAGACAGAGTCTTGCTCTGTTGCCCAGGCTGGAGTGCAGTGGTGCAATCTTGGCTCACTGCAACCTTCACCTCCTGGGTTCAAGTGATTCTTATGCCTCAGTCTCACACTCAATAAATGATTCTTGAATGGGACTCAATCAATGGCTGCAAGCTAACGGACAATCAGTGCCCAGCTTACTTGAAGTCCAGGTAGCGCTGAGTGCCGTTGCAAGAAGAAAACTTAATATTCACCGCATTCCAGAATGCTTACATGGTCATGTGTTTCTAAACACTAAAACTGAGGAAAGACCTTTGGACATTCTGTCTCTGCCTTTCCACTCCCTTTTGCCTGGCTGCCAGCCTACTTAAACATTCTTCTACTTCTCATTGGCTTGTTCCAGTGAAAAAGTTTGTTGAGTAAGCCACTGAAATTTTTAAAGCCATGTTGGAAATACCTAAGTAAGCAAAGCACAGCTTTACAAACAGAAGATATTAAAGAGATAAACTGTGGATTGAAAGAGATAAAAATGTGGTACATGGCCATGCACAGTGGCTCACGCCTGTAATCCCAGCACTTCGGGAGGCTGAGGCAGGGGGATCACAAGGTCAGGAGTTCAAGACCAGCCTGGCCAACATAGTGAAACCCCATCTCTACTAAAAATACAAAAAAATTAGCCAGGTGTGGTGGTGGGTGCCTGTGATCCCAGCTGCTCGGGAGGCTGAGGCAGAAGAATTGCTCGAACCCGGGAAGCGGAGGTTGCAGTGAGCCAAGATCGTGCCATGGCACTCCAGCCTGGGTGACAGATTGAGACTCCATCCCAAAAAAAAAAAAAAAAATGTGGTACATATATACCATGGAAATGCAACCATAAGGAACAAGATTACATCCTTTGCAGGGACATGGATGGAGTTGGAAGCCGTTATCCTCAGGAAACTAACACAGGAACAGAAAACCAAACACTGTATGTTCTCACTCATAAGTGGGAGCTGAACAATCATAACACAGAACACATGGACTCAGGAGGGGAACGACACACACCAGGGCCTGTCAGGGAGAGGGAGTGGTGGGGGAAGGGACAGCATCAGGACAAGGACAAATAGCTAATGCATGCAGGGATTAATACCTAGGGGATTGGTTGACAGGTGCAGCAAATCAACATGGCATACATTTACCTATGTAACAAACATGCAAGTCCTGCACATGTACCCCGGAACTTAAAATAAAATTAAAAAAAAAAAAAGAGAGAGAGAGAGAGTGTGGCCAATGAAAAGTATGTGAGGCATTGCATGGAGCCAGCAGCTCTTTAAGGGATCTTGAGTTTTTCACATGCCACGTAAGCCTTCCAATAGGTACAGCATCCGTTGTCCCTGGAAGTCCCCAAAATGTTCTTCGTGGAATGGGTTAATCCCTTCTCTGCCAAGAATTCTCACTCAGGAGGAGCAAATGTTCATCGAACTGCCTGCCAAATACCATCTCCAGACTCAGTGTCATGATTTCGAGTCCTTGCCACCCTGGTCCCTCTCTCCTGTAGCCGCTGAGCTTCTCCATGTTCCTCTTTCTCTTCCTTTGATGGGAGCACCATGCTGTGTCAATGGGGCTATGGTTCCCATAGGCTCCTATGGCACCCGCGTGAGTCTTGTTAAGACTGTGGCCCGTGTTCCCATCCCAAGTTATTTATGTGAACATCCCTTCTCCTGAAACACTTAAAAGCAGGTATTTATTTGTATCACCATTACAATAATACCATTTTATGACTGCCCACCACATTCCAGATTCTGTGTTAAAGGTTTCACATGTATTACCTTGTTGAATCCTCAAACCAGGAATTAGCAAATGCTTTCCACAAAGGGCCTGATAGTAACTCTTTGAGGCTTTGCAGGCCATCTGGCCCCTGTCATAGTCACTCAACTCCGCCACTGAAGCATAAAAATAGCCATAGACAACTTGTAAATAAATGAGGTTGGCTGTGTTCCCATAAAACTTTACACAGAAAAACAGGCAGTAGGGGTGAGCTTGCACACAGGTGACAGTTGGCTGATCCCTGCTGTAAACACCCATGGAAGTAAGCAGGTTGTTAATACCCATTTCACAGATGAGTAAATGAAGCATAGAGAAGAGATTAAGCATCTTTGCAAAGATTGGACAGGTTGTAAGCAGCAACCCAGGGTCTGTGCAATGCCAGGTCCTATGTAAACACTATGTCCTAGCGGTTGCAAACAAAAAAGACATGAGCCTTAGGAAACAGAGAGATGGAGGACAAACACTTTCTCCAGCAGCCTGCCCCTTCCTTATGACCACAGACTTCCCCTTGAGTTCTGCACCAGCAACTCACCTTCCCTTGTGGGCTGAGATCCTGCTCATGGCAGCAGTTGCTTGTAGTGCTCTGATGTGATTGTGAGGCAGGCAGGTTGGCTATTGTTCTCTATTCTGTACTAGAATGCAACTTCAGGAGCTCTCCAGATAAAGACAACAGCTATCTCTTACTTTTCCAGGAACATAAATAAGATTGATTGGTACGTGTGTTAATGGCATTACTGATTGAATAATGAAATTATTGAGTGTGTGGGTTTCTCCAGCATGTGTGTATATGCCAAATACGTATAATACATTATTATATATTATATAATTATAATTATATATAATATATATTATATGAAATAATATAATTATATATTATCTGAAATAATATAATTATATATGATATGAAATAATATAATTATTGTATATGATATGAAATAATATAATTATTACATATGATATAAAATAATATAATTAGTATATAGTATATAAAATAATTTGATTATTATATAGTATATAAATAATGTAATTATTGTTGTACATTATATAAAATAATATAATTATTATTGTATATTATATTATATAAGGTAATATAATTATTATATATTATATACATAATATAATTATAGATTATTACATAATATATTATAGATTATTATAATATATTACATACACTAATATAATGATTATATATTACTATAAAATATGTATTATATATTATCTATTACTAGAATATTATATTTTATCTATTTTTATAATATATCATAAAGTCAATAAATAATTCATTTTTGAGACAGTCTTGCTGTATATACAAGACTGTATATACAGCTGTACATGCTGTATATAGAAGACAGTCTTGTATGTATAATATATACTATATTGTATATTATATATATTATATTATATAGTGCACTAAGTACTGGAAATATACCATGAAACAGTAAAATGACAGATCCTAGTATTAGCCTTGTTGAAATGATCATCTTCACCTGTGTGTGATTGATGACTTTTTCACTTAGGTTTCTACAGTTTATCTGGTTCCTGTTTGAATTATTCTGATGGACTCTTGCCACCTGAGATCAATATTATTAACTCCACATTAAGGGAGGAAAAGCTGAGGCTGAGAGTTGCACAGAGTTGCAAAGGGTCACACAGTGACAATGTCAGTGCTTAAGTTGAGTCGTTGGCTGGAGACCTCTGTCTCCTGACCCCCACACCCTTTCCTACCACAACTTGCTGCTCTGCTATTACACAGCCATGCCCTGGGCCATTCTCCCTCACCACTTCCAGCTGGCAGCATCTTTGTCTGAACTTTATTTAACCTGGCTCCTTTCCAGGCCCTCTGGCAGCTGTCCCAGTTCTCCTTTGCTATCTGCCCAGCATCTCCCAGGTTCATTTCTTAAGCTCTTACCTTCTTTGACAGCCAAATGCCCTCTATTTTATTTTCTCCCTTGGGCACACTCGTAGGATGGAGAAAAGCCGAGAGATTGTTCACTTTCTTAACAGGAGCTGCTTTCAATTCAGCCACAGCTGCTATACCTTTCAGAAGTGAGATGGATCCCAAGACAGATGGCTCAGCAGTGACTATTTTAAGCCCCAGAGTCACAAGAACAGATTCAAAATAACTCAGTCCAGCAGGGGTCAAAAGCAGAGCAGAGCTTGCTGGCTTTAAAGAAAGCATGACCCTAGGTCTTTGAAGTCACTGAGTTAAGTCAGCACTGACGTTTTCTAGTTAATAAGACTTTTTCAGCACAGTTTTCTGTGCTGATGTTTCAGGACAGATTGCCCTATGTTCTGAAAAAAATCTTCCTCTGATACTTCAAAGCTCTTCTTTGAATATGTATTACTGCTCTCAAGATTTGTACCAGGGGACATTCTGCTTACCCTTATGCATCAATCAGCAAATTGCAACAATAACGCCGTGTAAGAAAATATCTCATAATTCAGTGACTTTCAGCAACAATCACTTATTCTTTTTCACATGCCTGGACTTGGCTTGGGGTCAGCTGATCTGGACTCAGCCTGGCTGATCTCGGCTCCAAGTTGTAGATTTGCTTCTGTTGCCTTACTTAGCTGTCATCCTCCTTGGATCAGCTACAGGCTATTCCGAACATGTTTCCGTGGCCGTAGTGGAAATGCAAGAGGGAAAGTTCAACTACACATGTATGTTTCCAGCTCTTGTTTGCATATGTCTGCTAATAGCACATAGACCAAAGCAATTTACATGGTCATGCCCTCTATCGATGGGGCAGGACAGATACTTTACTCGAAGTGGAGCGGGGAGGAACTGAAAAATCACGTGCCAAAGGTTGAGGCTAGGAGAGGAGTGAATCATGAGAACAGCAACGCTATTCATCATGCCTGGGTGGCAGAGCACCTGCAGAAGAAGGCTATCTAGAGGGCAACAGAGAAATCAGGTGATTATTTTCCCTTCTAGCAGTTGTGGCTACTCATTACCATTTCCTCTCCAGGGAGGAGTCAAGGCCACAGAAGATGGTTTGACATCTCCCTTTGGAATGACCTTAAGCTATCTCTGCACTCTTTTATAAAGACCGCTTTCTTGCCTTCAGTCCACTGAGTGGGCTGCCCATTGCTGTTGAATTCTTAAAACTGGCTTCTCGGAGGTATTTAAGAGATTTCAGGAGTGCGGAGACACACATTGAATGGACGAGTATAGGGTCATTTAAAGGAACCCCTTTCTTACCGTAGCTCCATCCCTGTGTAAAAGAGCTCCTTCAGTTTCAACAAGACTATTATAGATCCATACTGGGGGCTGTTTACCTGGCGCAGTAAGACCACGTATCCACACTGAGGCTTTGCAGCCATAGAAAAAAATGTAGATATTTTCAGAGTGCCCAGCAAGCAGGACCAGGTGGCTAATGCTTAAATCCTGACCTCTCCACTGAGAATTTGCAGATAAGGGATTTTAAAGGCAGGGGTAAATTTCAGGAAAACAGAAGTTACAGGCAAAATCATAACTCAATCCATGGAGTTTACACATCAGTTTTGGCTTAAAGGGGCAGGATGTCTTAAAGCAGAGGCCCATAGATCACAGCGGGAGTCAAAGATTTTCTGATCTGCCATTGGTTCTGGAGGCCAAGCTTTGTCTATGGATTTGGGATGAGCAGAGAAGAATGTTAGCTCTGGCTCACAGGTGTGACTTCTTCCAGGTCTTACAGGAAGAAATGTAGAACCAAGAGCAGGGGCCAGATTTCAGTCCTCAGTTTCCCCTTATCTGAGGTCTATGTGCCAGTGGACTCATTTGGTGGGGGGCTGGATTTCTGAAAAACAATTCAGGGATATGTGTGAAGATGTTATATTTAGTTTCTATAGGGAACATCTCATGACTCTAAAGGCCTGAAACTTGCCCGGCTATTGTTTTAAGCTACTATTACCCTCTTGCTTATCAACTTAAACTGACCAGCTGTGATCAACAGCATAATGGTTCCCCAATGATGTCCACACCCTAGACCTCAGAACCTGTGAATATGTTGGATTGCATGGCAAAAACGGAATTAAAGCTTCTAATGTGTTGACCTTGAGATAAGGAGGTCCTACTGGATTATCTGGATGGACTCAGCTGTTAAAAAGGTAAGGGTTTTTGACCAGGTATGGTGGCTCACGCCTGTAATCCCAGCACTTTGGGAGGCTGAGGTGGGTGGATCACAAGGTCAGGAGATCAAGGCTAACATGGTGAAACTTCATCTGTACTAAAAATACAAAAAATTAGCCAGGCGTGGTGGCACGTGCCTGTCCCAACGGAGAATTGCTTGAACCCAGAAGGTGGAGGTTGCAGTGAGCTGAGACCATGCCATTGCACTCCAGCCTGGTTACAGAGCAACTCTGTCTCAAAAAAAAAAAAAAAAAAAAAAAAAAAAAAAGATAAGGGTGGGTTTTTTTTTCCCCCATGGGGCAGAGGGAGGCAGAAGAACCAGTATCAGAATAAAAGACACAAAATAAACCTAGGCGTCCATCAGCAGTGGATTAGATTTTTAAAAATGTGGTACATATACACTTGGAATACTATGCAGGCATAAAAAGAATGATATCATTTGCAGCAACACAGATGCAGCTGGAGGCCATTATCTTTTTTTTTTTTTTTTTTTTTTTTTTTTTTTGAGACAGAGTCTTGCTCTGTCACCCAGGCTAGAGTGCAGTGGTGTGGTCTCGGCTCACTGCAACCTCCACCTCCCTGGTTCAAGCAATTCTTCTGCCTCAGCCTCCCGAGTAGCTGGGACTGCAGATGTGTGCCACCACACCCGGCTAATTTTTGTATTTTTAGTAGAGATGGGGTTTCACCATATTGGCCAAGCTGGTCTCAAACTCCTGACCTTGTGATCCACTCACCTCAGCCTCCCAAAGTGCTGGGATTACAGGTATGAGCTACCGCACCTGACCCAGGGAACCATTATCTTAAGCAAATTAACTCAGAAACAGAAAACCAAATACTGCAGGTTCTCACTTATAAATGGAAGGTAAGCATTGAGTACACACAGACATAAAAATGGGAATGATAGACACTGGGGACTACAAGAAGGGAGAGGAAGGGAGGGGGCAAAGTTTTAAAAAGCATCTATTAGGGGCCGGGCATGTGGCTCACACCTGTAATCCCAGCACTTTGGGAGGCCAAGGCAGGCGGGTCATGAGGTCAGGAGATTGAGACCATCCTGGCTAGCACGGTGAAACTCCATCTTTACTAAAAATACAAAAAATTAGCCAGGCGTGGTGGTGGGTGCCTGCAGTCCCAGCTACTCAGGAGGCTGAGGCAGGAGAATGGCATGAACCTGGGAGGTGGAGGTTGCAGTGAGCTGAGATCACGCCACTGCACTTCAGCCTGGGTGACAGAGTGACACCCCATCTCAAAAAAATAAAATAAAATAAAAAGTACCTATTGGGGCCAGGCATGGTGGCTCATGCCTGTAATCTCAGCACTTTGGGAAGCTGAGGTGGGCAGATCACTTGAGGTCGGGAGTTGGAGACCAGCCTGGCCAACATGGCAAAACTCCATCTCTACTAGTAATACAAAAATCAGCTGGGTGTGGTGGTGTGCACCTGTAATCCCACCTACTCAAGAGGCTCAGGCACGAGAATCACTTGAACCCAGGAGGCAGAGGTTACAGTGAGCCGAGATGGTGCCACTGTACTCCAGCCTGGGCAGCAGAGTGAAACTGTGTCTCAAAAATGAAATAAAATAAAATAAATAAAAAGTACCTATTGGGTGCTATGCTCACTTCCTGGGTGATGGGTTTAACTGTACTCCAAACTTCAGCATCATGCAATATACCCTTGTAATAAATCTGCACATGTTCCCTTGAATCTAAAATAAAAGTGGAAAAAAAATCTGGAAAGAAACCTTAACCATCTATTCTCTCTGAGGGAGACTTCATCTATGTAACAAGACCACCTTTGCTAGCCAGGCCTCTTCATTTCTCTCTTTCTCATACGTGTCTTGCCACTAAACCTGATTTTTCAACATAACCTGCTTCTGGCTTCACTGGTTCTGCATTCTTTCAAATAGAAGCTTCTGTTTCTTACTGTTGGATTGAGTGTTCATTCTGAAGGCTCTGTATATACACATTGAATGAACTTGTATTCCTTTCTCCTATTAACCAGCCTATTTCACACCAGTGAAATTTCAGCAAACATTTAGGGAGATGAGAACCTGTAGCCTCCATGGGGATCATCAGTCAAGGAATGTGGAGACCTCCAGAAATTGCAAAAGGCTAGAAAATGTACTTTCCCTGAGAACCCTCAGAGATGACAACCCCTGCTGACACCTCAGTTTTAGTCTTTTGGATTTTTGACCTCCAGAACTGTAAGATAATTCTGCATTGCTTTAAGCCATTAAGATTTTCTTATGGCTTTAATTTGTTATAGCAGCAATGGAAAACTAATACATCGATGTACCAGTCAGGATTTTTTTTTTTTTTTAATCTTTAAAACCAAGGGAGTTGAGCTGCATAGCTCCAATGATTGTTTCAATTCTAATTTCCTGTCTTTAGAAAAAATCTTCAGTTTTCTAAACTCTCTAGGAAGCAAATGGGGTAATGACGGGACAGTGGAGTCGAGCTGACCTTGGATGATCTGGGGACCCTCAGCTCCATCTGAGCCTGCTTGCTCACTGGCGGATCATCCATCCTCTTCCCACAAGGCTCCAGTGAGCAATGATGAGTCAATCATAGTTCAACATGCTGTGTGTCTTCTTCCATCTTTCTGTCTTCCTTTCTTTAATGAATATAGGGGAAGGTTGGCAGCAGGGAAAGTATGGAATACGGTGAACAGTGAAGAGACCAGCCTAACATGAACTAAAGCAACAATGCTGGGTGTGTTTGTTGGTTTTGTTTGTTTACTGTTCTATCTTAGTCAAGTAAAGGGAAATAAAAATCTCAGGGTCCCGCAAACTACTTAAGCAAAAGGGAAGGTCATTGCAACACCCTCTTCCAGATGAATACCTGTCACTAACATTATGCATCAGCCAGGTTGCCCATGGAGAGGTAAAAGACCTAAGGCATCTGGGAAGGACAGCCTCCATGTCATTCATAAGCAAATTCTTTCTCTCTCTCTCTCTCTTTCTTTCTTTCTTTCTTTCTTTCTTTCTTTCTTTCTTTCTTTCTTTCTTTCTTTCTTTCCTTCTTTCTTTCCCTTCTTTCTTTCTTTCTTTCTTTCTTTCTTTCTTTCTTTCTTTCTTTCTTTCTTTCTTTCTTTCTCTTTCTTTCTCTTTCTTTCTTTCTTTCTTTCTTTCTTTCTTTCTTTCTTTCTTTCTTTCTTTCTTTCTTTCTGTCTCTCTCTCTTTCTCTCTCTCTCTCTCTCCTTCCTTCCTTCCTTCCTTCCTTCCTTCCTTCCTTCCTTCCTTCCTTCCTTCCTTCCTTCCTTCCTTCCTTCCTTCCTTCCTTCCTTCCTTCTTTTTGGAGTCTTGCTCTGTCACCCAGGCTGGAGTGTGGTGGCACCATCTCAGCTCACTGCAAGCTCCGTCTCCCAGGTTCAACTGACTCTCCTGCCTCAGCCTCCCGGGTAGCTGGGATTACAGGCATGTGCTACCACGCCTGGCTAATTTTTTGTATTTTTAATAGAGACGGAGTTTCACCATGTTAGCCAGGATGGTCTCGATCTCCTGACCTCATGATCCATATGCCTAGGCCTCCCAAAGTGCTGGGATTATAGGCGTGAGCAACCGTGCCCAGCCCGTAAGCAAATTCTTTGCTGGCCTCCCATAAACAAGGACATACCAACTGTAACTTTAGATCTGCAACCTAATTCTAGCTCCTAAAACTCCACACTGATAATGTTGATTACAAGCTCATCTTCCCAGGTGCAGAACAAAGTTGATTCCTTCCTTCCATCTACCCGGAGAGGTCTGCATAACTGACTCTTCCTTTATTCCCCTTTTTCTCTCTGGACATTCACATTATCTTATGTAAAATGTAGATTCACTAGACAGTAACTAAATTCTCTCAGGAATGTAGCTATCCGCTGCCTGCCTGCCTCTCTTCCATCCCCTGTTCTTTAAGGAAATCTATAAATACCAACCTCCTGTCTGGGCGTGCTGGTTCATACCCATTATCCCAGCACTTTGGGAGGCTGAGGCGGGTGGATCCCTTGAGGTCAGGGGTTCAAGACCAGCCTGGCCAACATGGTGAAACCCTGTCTATACTAAAAATACAAAAATTAGCTGGGCATGGTGGCAGGCACCCATAATCCCAGCTACTCAGGAGGCTGAGGCACAAGACTTGCTTGAACCCGGGAGAAGGAGGTTGCAGTGAGCTGAGATTGCCACCGCACTCCGGCTTGGGCAATAGAGTGAGACTCAGTCTCGAGAAAAAAAAAAGATTACTAACCTCCCTACCGAAAACCTTTTCTGAAGAACAGCCACAGATGTATCTGTGGCTCATGTTTTTCTTGGACGTGCCCTGAAGTGGCTTGATAAACCTTAATGATCAAGGCAGGGTGTGGTGGCTCATGCCTATAATCCCAGCACTTTGGGAAGCCTAGGCAGATGGATCACTTGAGGTCAGGAGTTTGAGACCAGCCTGGTCAACATGGTGAAACCCCGTCTATACTAAAAATACAAAAATTAGCCAGGTATAGTGGTGTGCACCTGTAATCCCAGTCACTCATGAGGCTAAGGCGTGACAATCACTTGAACCTAGGAGGAGGAGGTTGTAGTGAGCCAAGATTGCACCACTGCCCTCCAGCCTGGATGACAGAATGAGACTCTGTCTTAAATAAATAAATAAATAAAACAAAAAAAACCACTCCCCCAAAAAACCTTGATGATGGAGACTTATGCCTCACTCACTCATTTTGGTTGTCAGCCATATTCACTGTCTGTTTCCCTTTCTGTGCTCCTCAACAGTGACGTTTCAGGGACATTTTTCAAGAACAAAGATGATCGTGTCATGCTGCCATGGGCCAGGCTGTCAAGGCTATCTCCTCCTCCACCTTGACCAGCAGTTTCGTCTTCAGAAAATGCTCCAACTACAGCCAGAAGAACAATGAGAACCCTTGAGGATGCACTGGTTCAGAAAAGAGGCTGAGGGTCTTCCCTTGAACTAAAATTTTATAAAGTTGATTAAGAAGAGAAAAATAAAATTGAGCTAGGCGTGCAGTACAATCGGTAGTCCTTGTTAAGACAGCTTGCCCTTGGTTACACTTCCTTTAGCTGAATGCTATTTATCCCAAGACTCTTTATTTGTTCTATAGATAAAATCAAAGACATTATGAGATGATAAACTCTCCGTTTGAGTTTCTCCTTTAGGTTCTGCATACCAACAAATCTACCCTACACTACTGATACCAGCTGGTCTGCAGGCCCCACAAGAAACTGACTCATGGAAGAATGCGTTTTCCACATCCTGATAATTTCATCCCCCTTATCTCAACCAATCAACAATCCCAATTTTCCAGCTCCTTACCTTCCATGATTTCCTTAAACACTGAAGCCCAGTGAAATGGATTTGAGGCTCAAGAATTCCTCCCACTTCCTCATTTGGCAGGCTTGTAATTATTAAACTCTTTCTCTGCTGCAAACCCTGCTGTCTTGGTGTGTTGGCATGTTGCTGTGCAGTAGGCATGCCCATCTGGCAGTCCTGTAACAACCTCAGAACCACTGACAAATACACAATGGAGTCATATTGTAAGACACCTGCACAGGTTCTGGATAGAAAAATCTAAGGAAGGGAGGAAATTAGGGTTGAAGAGAAGGCAGCTTGGAAGGTTATGAGACTTTGGTGTGACCTCACCCAGAGGCAAATAACCAAATTATAAGAAGGTTCAATTTAATGAATTATTGAGAAATAGTCTCTGCGGTTACACATTTTTCTGCTTAAGTGCAATTCATTTTCAATCCAAAACTAATTTATATCTTTCATAGGTACTTTACAATATTTAAAGTGATTCTGTGCTTTTGTTTCACAGATAATAAAACCTTATATTTTGGTCTAGCACAGTGGCTCATGCCTGTAATCCCAGCACTTTGGGAGGCTGAGGTGGGAGGATCGCTTGAGCCCAGGAGTTTGAGACCAGCCTGGACAATACAGCAATATCCCATTTCTAAAATAATAACAATTAAAAAAAATAGCCTAGGGTGGTGGGATGCACCTGTAGTCTAAGTTACTCAGGAGACTGAGGTGGGAGGATTGTTTTAGCTCAAGGGGAAAAGGCTGCAGTGAGCTATGATCACATCACTGCACTCCAGCCTGTGGGACAGAGCAACATTGTCTCAAAACAAAAAGAAAAATAAACACAAAAAACGCTTATACTTTATATTAGAGATCAGGTTTAACATACAAATACTGCAAATACCTCTGAAAAGGTAGCACAGTTAGGTAAGCCCATGAAGGCATAAATACCAGGTATGTTGTTCTTGCCAAGGGCTGAAAACTCAGGCAAAAGCAGACACACAGGGTTTCTCAAAATCAGGCAGTGTTGACCTGAGGAGAATAAACAAAAAATAGGATGCAGAAAGAGAAAGCTGGGGGTATTAAAGGCAAATTTTACTGACTTCCTTGTTGGATTTCTTCAACCAGGTCATAAACACTTCTCCAGAGGGGAAATCGGGGAAGCACTTCTCTGGAAAATGTTTGCAAGGAGAAAATAATCCCTTTTGTTATATGTGAGTCATTCTTGTCTAGGTGTTAATGCTTTGGTTTCCTACATGGTTATCCCATAAAAGCCTGCAGGGAGGGTAAGTGCGTGTGGTCTCAATTAGGAGGAACATTTTCCTTTTAGACATCAAAGGTGAAACACAGCTTCAGACCCATAGTCTAAGGGGAGGTTCCAGGTATGCAAAAAAAAGGTTTTCTTTACTTTTCTTTTTTTTTAAAGAGACAGGATCTTGCTCTGTCCCCTAGGCTGGCATGCAATGGCACTATCATAGCTCACTGCTGCCTTGAACTCCCGGGCTCAAGCGATCCTCCCACCTCAACCTCCCAAGTAGCTGAGACTACAAGTGACCAACACCACACATGGTTAATTTTTGTATGTTTATTTTTGTAGAGATGGGGTCTCACTATCTTGCTCAGGCTGGTCTCAAGCTGCTGGCCTCATGTAATTCCCCTGCCTCTGCTTCCCAAAGCACTGTGATTATAGATGGTGAAGTCCTAAAAGGGTCCCCGCCATCTGGAGGCAGAAAGGGAAGCAGCAGAGGACCCTGATAGGGGACTTAGTGGCCCTCTCTACTTTAACATGAGTGTGCAAAATTACTCAGATTCATGACATTTTCTGTGTTCATATTTCTAGCACCAAATCTCTATTAAAAGATGTATACTTTTAAACTCTCCACTTGCCTTTATTCAATAACACTGAGTTGCCTAATCCCTTTCTCTCCTGGTCTAGGTAAGTATCAGAAACAGAAGCTCAGGTTGGATCTGGTTCCTGCTCATTAGCAACTCTTGGCTACACCTACACAGTATGAAAACATTAGACCCAGCAAACCTTGTATGGTAGATAACAAAATTTACTGCAATATAGTACAGCTTCTGCCATCAAGGAACTGGGTCTACTTCTCCAGTCTTTGAATCAGGTTAGCCTTTTGATTTACTTAGTTTTTTTGTTTGTTTGCTTGTTTTTTTTGTTGTTTCTTTGTTTTTGAGACAGTCTCACTGTCTCCCAGGCTGGAGTGCAGTGGTGCCATCTTGGCTCACTGCAACCTCCACCTCTCAGTTTCAAGTGATTCTCCAGCCTCAGCCTCCTGAGTAGCTGGGATTACAGACGTGAGCCATCACATCTGGCTAACTTTTTTGCATTTTTAGTAGAGATGGGGTTTCACCATGTCGGCCAAGCTGGTCTTGAATTTCTGACCTCAGGTGATCCACCCTCCTTGGCCTCCCAATGTGCTGGGATTACAGACATGAGCCACCACGCCCGGCCTTTGATTTACTTAGAATGTGGTGGAAATGACCCTGTTTTTTGTTTGTTTGTCTTTTAATGGAGACAGGGTCTTGCTCTGTCACCTAGGTTGCAGTGCAGTGGTGCAATCACAGCTCACTGCAGCCTCCACCTCTTGGGCTCAAGCAACCTTCCTACTTCAGCCTCCTAAGTAGCTAGGACTACAGGTATGCACCACCATGCCTAGCTACTTAAACTTTTTTTTTTTGTAGAGATGGGTATCACTGTATCACTACGTTGCCCAGGCCTGCCTTGAACTCCTGGCCTTAACCCATTCTCCTGTCTCAGCCTCCCAAAGTGCTGGGATTACAGGCATGAGCCATAGTGCCTAGCAGCCCCTGTTTATGTTTCATTCCTAGGCCTGAAGAGCGCTTGCAGCTTACAAATCCTGCAATCACCAACTTGTGAACCAGCCTGGGCTAGCCTTCTGGATGGTGAGGATGTATGGCCCAGTTATCCTGTTCTCTTAGCCAATACCTAGTTATTTCAGTGAAGCCGTGATCGTCTGCTGACCATAAACATTTGAATGAGACCACAACAACAGAGGAAGCATCCAGCTCATCCCAACCCCAATTGCCCACCTATATAAGCGATGAATGGCAGAGTTTTTAATCTACAAAATGGGGCTAGTTATTAGGCAGCAAAAGCTAACTGATACACCTTGAGCAAATGATGAAAGAGAGAATCTTGAAAACACTGAGGTTCCACTTATGATGACATTGTGAAGAATAATCATTTATTGATTGAAGTCCTACCTAGAGACTTGATTATGACTGTCTGTAGCAGGGGGAGAAAGAGTGCAGCTCAGGATAAAAAAGAAGAGGCTTTGAAATTCAAATTAGCTTTTTTTTTTTTTTTTTTTTTTGAGATGGAGTTTCACTCTTATTGCCCAGGCTGGAGTGCAGTGACGCGATCTCGGCTCACACAACCTCTGCCTCCCGGGTTCAAGGGATTCTCCTGCCTCAGCCTCCCAAGTAGCTGGGATTACAGGTGCCTGCTGCCATGCCTGACTAATTTTTTTGTATTTTTGGTAGAGACGGGGTTTCACCATGTTGGCCAGTCTAGTCTCGAACTCCTGACCTCAGGTGATCCGCCTGCCTCAGCCTCCCAAAGTGCTGGGATTACAGGCGTGAGCCACTGTGCCCGGCCTCAGATTCACTTTCTTTTACTGATGGACACTAATGACTTTGTGACTTCTATAACTTGCTCTTTTTTTTTTTTTTTTTTTCATTAGAGCAGTAGCTGAGATGATTCAAAAATCAGCATGGCCTCAAGTGATGACTTTACTAATTGTTTCCTGCTGGAAGGGATTTGGCCTTAAAATATACAGGCTAAATATCCCAATTCTCTCATCATAAGAAAATGCCCCCCACCCATCCTGACCCAGTGCTTTCCATGGAATGTGTTCGCTCCTGCCCTCAGCGCAGTGGGGATGATTGGCTGACAAACCAGGGGAGAAATGTTCTCAAAACCAGACCCCGGCTCTCCATTTCTTTATGCAGTTTCTTGTGTCATCGCTTCTTTTTGGAAACAGAGCTCCCACTGACATCAAAAAGAATCTTTCTCAAAGTGCCTGGAAACCAGAGGGCGGGCAGCGTGGTTCCCCCAGCAGCAGAGATTCAACCCCTGATGCATTCACTGGAGATCAAATTGGATTAAATGCCCCCTTCTAAGCAAGCCTGCAGAATTGCCCAACACAAGGTCTTTCATGCGTTAGACCTCGAATGAAGGGCAAGCCTCAAAGCCTGGCCTAGTTCTAAATTTAGATAAGTAATTTTACCCAAGAATGTAACCGTGTAGTGACTATTTCTGCTTTTCCTCCTCTTTGAATGCCCGAGCAGGGAGGATAAGGTCTACATTGATGTCTTGACAATTTTGAGGAGGTGTCACGTGGCTATTTCTCGGTGAAAAGAGCAAAAGTAATAGGAGACCAGCTTAAAATGTCAAGTCACATTATTGGCAGACACCTGAGGTGATCTTTGCAGCTTTCCTCTGCTCTTAATTCAAGCAACATTACATGTGCTATGACAACAGTGAACAGTCTGGAACAGACTGTGTGATCTCCGGGAGCTGGCTGCTCTGGGGACAGCCTCAATGCTTCTTCTTGTATTTTCTCCTCCTTAAAGGGGAGCTTGTTCTTTGGGGGTCAGTTTATACACTCTAAGGGCTATGGCAGTGGAGACGGGGTGCAAGGCTGAGAATCTGCTTATGACTGATTTTAAATTGAATTAATATATGAATATTTCATAGACACACACACACACACACTAAGGATGCATGTCCAATTAAATATCTGGTGTCTCTGCTTTGTAATCAAATTATCTCAGCTCATCCTGACTATCTGATGTGGAAAAGAAGTTGTTGGCTGAGGGCAATGGCACATGTCTGTCATCCCAGCATTTTTGGGAGGCCAAGGTGGGAGGATCACTTGAGCCAGGAGTTTGAGGCTAGCCTGGGCAACTTAGTAAGACCTCCATCTCCCCAAAAGTGAAAAAAAGAGTTAGTCCTGGCATGGTGGTGCAAGCCTATAGTCTTATCTACCTAGGAGGCTGAGGTGGGAGGATCACTTGAATCCAGGAGTTTGAGGTTGTGGTGAGCTAGGATTGTGCCACTGCACTCCAGCCTGGGTGACAGAGAGAGGC